GGGGAGGGAAAAGGGAGGTGGGGAGGAGGCAGAAATCTTTAATAAAAAAAAAATCATAGCAAAAAAAAATTTTTTCTTCCAAGCAATTGCTTAGCAGTAGATGAAGATGAAAAGAACATTTTTTACAATGTGATGAACAAATAATTTTGTTATCTACAGATTTACATAGCTAACAGACACTAACCAAAGCACTAGTTTTCTCATTTGCCACATTTAATCGTGGGGAACACACACACACACACACACACACACACACACACACACCCCACCCCTAAGGAATCACTGAGTCCCTATTCTTCTGTTAGCATGTTAGAAAATAATGTGACTACAGATAATTACTACAGCATGTTCACTGAGAAAAACGTTTCACCCAGGAGGAAAATCAAGGCATTCAAAGAACACAGTACAGATGACTCAGAGTCTTGGGTCTGGATTCATGTGTAATCCCATGCTTCCTTAGACTGTTTAGCTAAATAACATATTCTACCATGTTCAAAGATGAGACACCATATGTGAAAATGAGATGACCTGGCACATGAATGACATGGAACTAGAACAGGCCCTATTTTCAGGGATCTGAGCTATTCAGAAACTATCAGAATATCATAATTAGAAATAGCTAAAGTAGAAATTTAAAACTTACAAGCCATATATTTGTGGTGCAATTTCTAGCCTGTTCAAGTGCATGTAGAGCTCAATATCATGCTTCTTCAGTAGGTGATCCTGGATCTGGTTGACTTTAGTAACAATGGCAACTGTTGGCCCTAAATCCTGTGGTCTAGCAAAGGGGATGGGTGTCATCAGAGAGTCTTTTCCCTGAAAAATAGAAGACATATTATTTCAATTTGAAATTAAGAAATATGGTAATTGGTTTTAAATTTATCCATCAAAGGAGTTTAAAGATGCAACACTGCTGTATCATAACCATGGCATAGCAAACATTTATGGGGCAGGTGACAGCTGTGCTTATCCAGCCTTACCCAGAGTGTCTCTTCTAAGTGTCTCCCTTGCATAGTTCCTCTTGTGGCATTAAATTTCCCAGGAGAATTGGGCTAGTGATGGAGGAAGGTCATTGGTTAATTAATAAAGAAACTGATTGGCCCTGGTAGGTTAGAACATAGGTGGGTGGAATAAACAGAACAGAATGCTGGGAGGAAGAGGAAGTGAACTCAGACTCCATAGCTCTGCTCTCTGAGGCAGCCGCGATGAAGCTCCGACCCAGGATGGACGTAGGCTAGAATCTTCCCGGTAAGCGCACCTTGGGGTGCTACACACATTAATAGAAAGGGGTACTCAAGATGTAAGAATTAGCCAGTAAGAAGCTAGAGCTAATGGGCCAGGCAGTGTTTAAATGAATACAATTTGTGTATTGTTATTTCAGGGCATAAGCTAGCCAGGCGGCTCGGAGCTGGGCGGCAGGAATGCAGCCCACAGCTCCCACAACAGGCTAGAAGCAGTGAAGCCTGTCAAGTGGCCCCTGGCCACTTGATCTGGTTAGGCTTGGATGGAAGTATATTTCTTGTAGCAATTAAAACTGAAACACTAAATGAAAACTACACAAAAAGGGAAAGAAAAAATCATTTTAGAAAAGGAAATGTTCTTTCTCTGTCCTTTTGTCAATGTAAGTAGCTGAGAAAAGATGAATAACTGCTTAAAATACAATCTGTGTGAGGCCCTCCCTCAACATCCTTTTGCCACCACTTCAAATTTCTATGGACTCCATGAGCCTGACCCACCGTGACCTTCAGTCCCTCATTTCTATGTATCTGACAGTGGTGTTTGTAGCATCCCTCACTAGTGATTCTTGGTTTACTTCTGAGTTTAAAGCTAATGCTAAAATAATAATGTTTATGCTTCTCCCAAGATTGCTTTCCATACAGAAAAGTCTCAATTTCATCCCTCTGCTCAAATGCTATTCCTCATTTAAATCCTATATTCAATGAAAATAAGTAAAATAAAGTAAGAATAAAGGACATGGACATTAAATCTGTGATTTTAAAATAATATACTAGCAAAAGAAGGCAATCTGTTTGACACAGATCTTTATCAATGTGCTTCAATAGCAATGCATTAAAAAAGATCTCAGTAAGAGATTAATAAAAGGTTTATAATAGCCAGGTATATGGTACACGCCTTTACTCCCAATACACAGGCAGATCACTGTGAGGTACTAATTAGACAGGGGTACATACTGAATCGCTCTCTATCTGAAAAAGACAAAACAGACTTAAAGTTTATAATAATTTTATAATTGGAATATGCATATATAAAGGAAAGGTTCCACTTATTTATATGAATCTTCATGTTGTGTTTATTTATATACCAATATTATTAGAATATGTAATAGATAGCTAGAATTGCTGCCCTAAGTATATTTATAATTTATTACAAAATGATCAGCTACACTACAGTGAAATAACAAACTATTCTAGTGTATGTTTTTATTTACTGTTACAAAAATGTACTGAAGAGATCTGTACTATTAAGAGTTACCTTTGGACCATCATGCTCAAAAGTAGAAAACCAAGGTTCAGCAGTTTCCATAAGCTGTGAGAACATTGCGCTAAAAATTAGAAAAAAAATAATTATATATTTAATCTTCACTAAAGTTCTGATGGTATTTAAAAAAAAAAAAAGAAAACGCAATAGCTGTAATACTTACTAGGCATCGTGCTCCAGAAACTCAGGGTTCAACAGAGTTTTCATTTCCTCACTTATAAAAGAAAACAATTCAAGCCAACAACGTGAGCAAATTTTAATAACTCTGGTAGATATAGCCTCTGCTTTAGACTGCATTCATAAGTCAATTTACATACAGTGTACAAGTAAAAAGTTAGTCTTTCAAAGGTCAACTCTAATAACAAATAAAATTCTGATTTTTATAAAGATTAAAAGGAAGTTATTTGATTGTCTGTGTCCCAATAAAGTAACCATCTAATAATTCCAGATAATGTATTGGAAAGAGTGACATTATATTCCTTCCAGGTATCCCAAATAACATATGGAAAAAGTGATACTATAGTCCTTGATTAAGTTTAATCTATAATAATTTTTTACTCTACAATATATCACTTTTCTTTCAAAACAAACAAAAAACTATAGTGACTGATTGAACATGCAATACCAAAAGTGCTTTATTGCTTTCCTTTTTATTTCATCTTAACATCAATTAGTCAACAACAACACCTTTAGCAAATCTACTCAATGCTGTTCTATTTTATAATGAACTATTTTCAGCCTTAGATTGTAGAATAATTCAAGGCAGTTAAAAGCTAAGTTACTTGTGTCAAGATTTGATGAAATCAATAAAATTAGAAAACTGGACATTATGCAACCACTAATTCATATACTGTAGAAAAGAGTTAATATAATTTGGGCCTGTTTCCAGCAAAACAGTCAGCTTACATCTGATTAGGAAGGATCATATAAACACGTGTCAAGGTATCACCAGGTATATTTTTGCCAGCATGCAATTCATTTAGCTAGGAAGACTCCTGACAATGCCCGGCGATCCTATAGCTCACCCATCATAAAATGCTTCTTGTTGGGCTCATTGTTATTCTAAGATGGAGAGCTAAATTTTAACAGTTACCAAAGCTAAGGCCAATTACAAAAGTCATTTACAAGAAAGAATCAGTATTTCTCAAAAATATGAAAAGTTTCAAGACCAGTGTCTGTGAAATAGCACTGCTCCTTTATAAACTAAGCTGAGTCAGAGCTGGTAAGGAGAAAGTATCACACAAAGTTTTCATTCAATTAACAGTAAAAACTTAGAGCACAGCAAATCTGAATATTATCCATGATTATAATTTTTAAAATTATATCAAACATTTCCTTTTTGGTCCTTTACATTTTTGTTTTCATTTGACAAGTCCTATTATTTCAGACACACAATTCAAATTTGCCATGTATCTAAACCAGCATTAGAATTTAGCAGAGATCAATCTCATGAAATACAATAAATTGTTTACAGAATACAAAACTAAAGTAACTTCAGTTTGAAAATAATTGCATGCAACAACTTGCCTGGGCTGTGCAGACTCACTGGCGTGTAGAAAAGCTTGGTGGTCACAGTGAAGAACAAAGATGATAGGTGCTAGCAGCTCATGCATACCCTGAAACACAGGGTCAGAAGACATGAATTGCAAGATAATAACAGATATTACTAATATAATAGACAGTATCAGCTAAGTCAAATGCTTCTATTCTTTTGCTCCAGGGCTTGATCTTGGTTCTGAACTCAAGGTTTTATGTGTGTCAAGCAACCTTAGCAATGTGTAAGTACTTATTCAAACAATCACCACTACAAGGATGTCCATTGTTACATAAAAAAGCATAAAAGTCGAATGCTACAAAATGAGTTCTATCTACTTTTAGAATTTGATTGTAATTCTAGCAGAGAATGTATTCTTTAAAATACAGGGAGCAGTTATCTCTTAAATGACATGACAAACAATAAATTGGCATGGCAGACAACCTTGCACCTGTCAGTTGCTTCAAGATCTGTACTCATAAATATGAATTTCACTTATGCAAATTATAATCATGAGCTACAGTGTAAAGATCTGCACTGAGGGCGATGAAGAACTGTAGACCTAAGAAATTACACCCAATGTTTTCATTATATAATGGCTCCAAATTAGGATGCCTGTAGATTTAGGAAGAGCTGAAGTCAGCTGGCTAGGAATGTTAGATAATAAGAGAAACAATCTTTAGCAAGCATGACAGAAAATGAAGTTTTCAATATAATTTTAAACATGTTTAATCAGAAACCTCACATTTTTCCTTGCACTTCAACAACAAACTTAAAATATTTTCTCTTATACTGGCATTCAACAGTGGATCACACAAATGGGCACAAACCAAGAAAAACGTTAGTTGTTACTTTTGTTTTAAAAGTTAGTCTTGTCCATCATTTACCTATTTGGAGGGAAAATAAGATGTCTGTTAGATTAGGTATTAGCCTTATTAACACAGATTTTGATCTTTTAATCATAAAATGCCATACTTTAGCATACAAAATAGATTATATTCTTTCTAGTCACAAAAGTAAGCAAATGCTCACTTCCCCTTTGCTTGACAGATAAGAATGCTCTTTTACTTTATAAATGGTGAGAAAACAAACTTTACAGGAAGAAAAAAGAAACATGAGAGTAGAGAGGGCATTTTGCTGGTAGAAAAGTCAGAGGCTTCCTGTGCTGTGAGGACAGACCCTGCTTGTCTCAGAAAATCCGTCATTATCCCACAGTTCCTATCAGAGTGTAAGCTTTCACGTCAGCAGACTGCACTCATCACTTGTCAATAGTGTTGAGTACAAATGATTTAATAACATAGTTCAAGTCACTGATTCTTTACTGGTGATGCGAAAAAAGCTATCATATATGCCTAAAATATTTTATCTAACTTTTAGCATGAGAAACACTGAAAAATTAGGTGAACTGTGGTTTAAAAAAGATGGGATGAATGGAAAAGATTTAAATACAATTTACACTCATTTATAAAGTTCTCAAAAATTTTTATTACAAAGCATCACCATCTACTTAATGATGTAATGTAGGCAATTTCAGAGAGGCAAGGTACAATGACAATGAAGTGAGGCAGACAGACTGGCCTGATGCCAAATAGACACTAAAATTAAAAACTATCATAGATACCTGCATGGTATCAGTTTTGCCAATTTCTAATACCTTGTTCAAAACAAATCTTTAGAGTATAACTTCTGGAAAATGATACCTGTTAAAGCCCTTGATACACATCATCCAGAGAGAATCCCCTACTACAGAATATAGAATAAACATTTCACATCTTCATATTTATAATTTTTAAAAATCTCAACTCTCACAATCCTAGGAAGACTGAACTCAAAATCTCTGCTGGTCATTTTTAATGAGCAAGCTATTGTGTCTTAGTAAAGAGTGTGTGTTGTCCTTTCATGTATAAACACGTGTGGTGTATGTATTTATTTTCCTGTGTGTTGGTTACATATGAGTTAATTGTTTAATCATGCACGTATGTTCATATGTGGAGACTTAAGGTTCACATCAGTGATCTAACATAACTAGTCTTCCATCTTATTCAATGAGGTAAGATCTCTCAATTAAATACAGGGCTTGAAGCTATGGCTAGTCATGTTAGCCAGGTTACAGTGGAGATTCTGAATAACTCTGTATTCCAAGGCTAGAACTGCAGACAGACCACATCCACTTGTCACTGACATGGTTCTAGAGATCGGAATTTAGGATTTCTTGAGCAGCAAACACTGCAAAAACTGAGCCATCCTGACAGTGCCTGACCTGAAGTGTGTAACACCTTTTTACCAAAGACTTTTAGCCTATTCAATTTTTTATTAAAATATTTACCACGTTTAGCATTTTTCTTTCAATTTTGATATAGCACACCACACTGAAATTAATTTCCTCATAATAAACCATCTTTCGAGTATTTTTTTTCATGCCCAACAAGAGCTCTCTGAGGTAAAGATTAAGTGAGGTGAGGGCTTCCTTTAATTCAGTCAGTTCTTTACTCATTTGAAAGTAGGGTCATTTTTAATCCAGAAAGAGAATATAATTTATTTCTAAATAATTAAACTATTTTATTTAATAAATACTCCATTTTCTATTATATCATAAGGCATATATACCTAACTTTTCCCAAGAGTTTTGAAATATCATCCTTATTATAAATTGAATGTTTACCCCATATTTTTCACTTTTATGCTACTTGACATAAACCTAGACATCTGGAAAAAAGAACCCGTAAGTGTGAAAATGCCTCAAAAAAATTGGCCTATACGAAATCCATATGACATCTTCTTGATTAATGATTAATGTAGAAGGGCCCCAATCAATGTTGGGCGGTGTCATACCTGAGCTGGTAGTCCTGGATGTAAAGCGAGCTGAGTAAGCCATGAGGAGAAAGCCAATAGGCCCCACTAACCCAAGGTCTATGCATTAGTTCCTTTCTCGAGGTTCTCGACTTGGATTCTGGCCTTGACTTCCCTGAATAAGGAACTACCAGCTAGAAGATGAATAAAGCTTTCTACCCAAGTTGCTTTTAGCCATGTGTTTTATCATAGCAATAGAAACACAACAAAGATAATTAGTGTTCTATTAGATTAATATTATTAAACAAGACTTGAATATTATAGACTTGGTCTACACAAGTTTTAGTCTATATAAGAATAATGCTAACCATGGAAGTGAATGATTTTTATAATAAAAACTTTACAATCCTGAATGATAACATGGAGATAGACAAGAGAAGATGGAAAGACTTCCATGCACAAGGGCTGGCAGAACTAGTACTGTGGAAATGACTGTCCCGCCACACACACACACACACACACACACACACACACACACACACACACGATTCAGTGTAATCCTAATCAAAATGCTCATGACATTCTTCACATAGACAGAAAAAAATCCTGAAATCCATATGGAAGCACAAAACACCCTGATAGCCAAAACAATACTGAGTAAACAATAAACACACATGCATGTATGCATACACGTGTCCCAGCACCAACACCAACAGAAAAAAAAAAGACAAAACAATGCCGAAGGATTCACCACACCCAATTTCAAGACATACTAAGGAGTTACCCTAATTAAAAACAGCATAGCACTGATACAAAGACAGATATGTGGATTAGTGAAATACAGAAAAGACTCAAATATGAGCGCACACAATTATAACCATCTTGCATTAGAGAGAGATGCCAAAAATATACAGTAAAGAAACATTTTCAATAATTGGTACTAGTAGAAATGAATGCCCACACATATTAGTAGACTAATATCTATCATCTTGCAAAAACAACAAAATAATAATTAACTCTGAATGTTTTCCAGAGCACAACAGTAACCCGAAATGTGTCAATTTCTAGAAGAAAAACAAAGATAGTATGTGGCAAAACACAGATGGAGAAAAGGACTCTACATAGAACTCCATTCTAACAAAAATTAAGTCCAACAAGTGACAAAGGGGGTGTCATAAAACTAAAATGTTTTGGTACAGCAAGGAAACAATCCATTAAGCTAAGAGAAAGGCCACAGAGTGAGAATATTTGTGAGCTTTTTATCTAACAGAAGACAAGTATCTAGAATATATAAAGGGCTCAATAAAAAGTCAACAACAAAACAAAACAAAACTGGCCTATGGATCTGAACAGAGATAACAAAAGAAAAAATTTCCATGAAGCATCTTTAAAGGTGTTTGTCATCCTTAGCATTAGGCAAATACAAATTAAAATTATTTTGGGATTTCATCTTCCTCTAGTCAAAGTGGCATCTATGACTGGGGCAGCCGTCTGGAGTCACCACAGACAAGACTTACGAGTGACACAGCTGTCCACTCCTTGGCCCTGTTCATCGCTGTCCTGTTTACAGGAGCCAGGAAATGGAAACCACCTGATGTCCTTCACCTGATTACTGGATAATGAACATATGGCACATATTTACAATAGGAGTCTATTTAGCTGTAAAGAAAAATGGAATGATGAAGTCTGTAGGCCAGTGAACGGATCAGGAAAACATTATACTGAGTGATGTAAGCTAGACTCACAAAGAGTTAGAATGTGTTAAGTATACAGCCAGAAATGACTACAGAAGCCAGGGAAGTAGACATGGTTCAAGGGGAGTGGAGAGGAAGAATGACCTTTAGAGAGGGAGAATGGAGGACTTAGGTACTATGAAGAGGGAAATAAGGGAAACAGGTAACAGACTTTAACTGGGTAAAGAAGGTAGGGTAACAGATAAGTTACTCTCTGGATTTTTGAAAAAAAAAAAAACATAGAGAAGCACGATATTTTATAAGCTTACATAAAATATACAATGGTGTGTGCATGTGTATGGGTGATAATGCTTTCCCCAAGGGTCAAAGACTATCAAACTGAAAACTCTAGGGGCAAATATGCAAATTTTCGCTTCAAGTTGTCAGGGGAGTGAGAGACTGCCCAAAGCGCACATACTATTGCCATTGTTTTTAGTTGACCCCAGAACTTGAAGGTAAGTCCTTATTGCTTAAAACATCACACACACTGGACACAGAACTTGGAGAACTTAAGGTGGAAGTGACCTGAAAACCTCTCTGAAAGACAAATTGTCATAGT